CGTAACTATATATTATATTTATATTACGAAATATAGAAATAAAAGTTTAAAACTAGAGAATTAGCGAGTTTTAAAAGCTATATAGAGCGCGTTAGAGCTTACTTATTTTATTAATAACTTTATATCCCTCTAGGAGTTTAATAATTACTAACTTTTCGTTTTTAAAAAGCGCGTTAAGGAATACGTTAATAGTATTATACTAGTTTATTTTAAAGTCGAATTAGGTAGTTATTATTATTATAAGCCTAAAAGCCTTTATAATAAGCGTTAAAGTATATATATTTTATAAGGGGTTAAGTAGTTATATATCCCCCCTTATATATATACATACTTTTACCTCGCTAACCTCGTTATTAATATCGTACTTATAAATATATACCTATTTTAATAAAAATAAGATCTTTTATTTAAAATTACGGTTAACCTCTTTTTATATATTAATATCCCTTAGCTTTTTTATTTTTATATTTATAATATCCCTAAGTAGCTTTTATAGTTATAATAAGAGATATTTAATATTACTAAACTTTTTTAATAAGCTCTAAAAATTAATTTTAATAAGTCGTAGTTTTTAAACTTTTTTAAAACGCTCTAAGTAGGTCTTATAAACTACTCTTTTTATTACTTAATAAAGTATTATATATCTTATACTATTTTTTTTTATAGCTTTTTATTAATTAAGTATAAAAATAGAAAAAAAGTAGTCCTAGAAACGGTTATAGTAATCGCTATTTTTTATATTTAAATATAAGAGCGTTATAAAAATACTATTATTAAAACGTTATAGAGGTCTATAGGCCCGGTTTAAGCGTTTAAAACCTAACGGAGCTTTATTTAATACTTAATAAGGCGGTTTTTATAAGCTCTATTTTTATATAATAATAAAGGTTTATTATAAGGGTTCTTTACTAACGTCGACTTTAGTATTAGGAATTATTTTTTTATAATTAGTACCTTATTTATTACGTATTTTAATATTTTATTAAGAGTTATTAAGAATTAAAAGCTCGAGAACCTCTATAATATATATAAATACTCGTAAAAAGGACTATAAATTATATAGAGCCGTTTATAACTTAGTTATTATATTCCTTTTTTTATTCTTACTTCTAAGCTTATATAAGGGGGTTATTTTAGGGATTAGTAATAATAATAAGATTATATTAGCTTTTTTAATTTTATTAACTATACCCTAGAGTACGTTTATTAGTTACTTAGCGTCCTAAATAGTTAAAAATTTAATAATAATACTTTTTTTAATTATAAAGTTATTTTAAGTACTAGTATTTCCGAAGTTTAGATCTATTTCCCCGAGTACTCGAACTAACTTATTATTAGTATTAAAGAGTTTTTATATTTTTTAGATTATTAAATTTACTTATTTATTTATAATAGCTTACTCCTCGTATACGGGATTATAAAAGACTTTTTTATTAAATTTAATATTTTTTATAATAAATATTTACTCGAGCGTAAGTACTTAGACCCTATATAAGTTATGTATTTTTAGTATATATTTAACTAAGTATTTTATATACTCGTAGGGAAGTATTTTAAACTCTTTTTAATATATACCCCTCTTATAATCCCTATAAAAAGAGTATACTTAGTAACTATATATATAAAAATTATTAAAATATAGGGTAACTAGTTTAGAATCCCGTACTTAATAACCTATTTATTATTAGCGTTAATACTACTTTTACTAATTAATTTTTATTATAATAAGCGAATCTCTTTTATTAACTTCCTATAGGGTAATATTATAAATAAAGATCGCTACTAGTACTATTTTATCCTATAGATTTATAAGGAGGTTCGTAAAAAAGCGTATTTTATAAGCTTTAGTAATTACGAGTTAACTTATTCTTTTAGCGTTACTTATAGGTTTTTTTATATATAAAAGTAAAAGTTCTATTCTAATTCTTAGCTTATTATATTACGTTTTATATATATATTTAACGTTTATAATTAAGAGGGCAGTTTTATTATTATTTTTAAAGAAGTAAATTAGAGTCCTTTTTTAATAACGAATTATGGCCTCGAGGCTTTATAGTACGAAAAGTACTTTTTCTTTTATTTTAGTTTTTAAAAAGAACCCCTTAAGCTACTTATTATATTTATTAAAAGCTATAAATATATATTATTATTTATTTAGAAATAGTTCGAAGTAGAAGAGATCTTAGTATATATAGTATTATAGCTATAAGGCTTTTTTTAAAAGTAGTCCTTTTAAAACTATTATTTTAGTTTTAAATAATATATATACTTTATATTTAACTTATAATAGAGGTTTAATACGCATATTTCGAGTTTTATATAATAATTAACGAAGAGTATTAAGTCTAAGATAATTTATTTTAAAGTATTAGAGGAGCGCGCTATTAAACCTTTTATAAGTACGTTAATATAAGTAATAGAATTTTTTATAGCTAATTAGTAATATAATATTAGCTAGGCTTTATAAGATATATTTAAAGTTTATAAAAAAAGGATAGGATTAGAAGAGCTTATATTTAAAAAAGACTAGATTATTTTTTTAAATAAGCTACTTTTTAATAGTACTCTTATAAAGCATTCCTTATTATAAAGTATAATTTAGACTATAGTATTAAAATGCGCTTCTATTTAGTAAAGTTTTTAAAATTATATTAATATAGAATCCTTTAACGTAAGCGACGTTCTAAAGCTTTAAATTATAAGTTCTCTTTCCTTTAAGTCTATTTAAAATACTTTTTATAATATAAGTACTACGTATAGTAATAAGTAGTATAGTAGTTCTTAATTTAACGTAGTTATTATTATTTAATAATACGTAACTCTTAAGTTTAAATAAGCTCTTATCGTTAATTAAATATATTATTCTATAACTATTTATTATTATATTTTAAAAAAGGGGGTAAGCGCTATTTATAGGGGTACTAAAGATTGCGTTTATTTTTAAATCCTAACTTTTTATAAATATAATAACTACGTAGCCCTTATTTTAGTTTATTAATAAGCTCGCTATAAGTTAGTTAGAAAATCTTTTTAAAAACCTAGGTTTTTTAGGAGTACTATTATTCCTTAGTTAACTAGCTTTTTTAAGCTTATTATAGAGTAATTTTTATTTATTTAATTTAATAATAACAAGGACTTTTTTTATATAGCTCTTTAGTATTTATATTAATAACTTACTAGCGTTTTAGTTTATAAGTACTTATTTTAATTTTTAATATACTATAGGGCGCTATAAGTATATATAATTATAAGAGTATATAACGTTACCCTTATTATTTATATTATTAATTAAGTTAGAGCGTTTAATAAAAGTAAAGTAAGCCCCTCTTTAATTTAAAAGTCGTTTAATATATACGTCCTAAGTTATTAAACTAAATATATATATAATCTCCTCGAGGGTCCTTATATACGTTCCGAAAGCTATTAATTTACTAAAGGTCTTATATATACGTTAGCCCTATATAGGGTTAAGTCTAGATTTAATTATAATTAAGAAATTAAGTATAGCGATTTTTTTATTAATTTTTAGAATATTATACGTTTTAGCTCGGAGGTAAGTAGACTATTACTCCTTATACTAGCGTTAGGAATTAATTTTAGTTTTTATTTTATTAAGGACTTATTAATATTCTTCTCGAACTATATTCCTTATTACTAGTTCGGGGGGTATAAATTCTTATTTTAAATATTTAATAATTTATTATATATTAAACTTAGTACCGTTTTTAATAGCTTTTTAAAATGCGTATTTATATAATATAATATTAACTAATTTTATTAACTACTAAGTAAGGATTTTAATATACGTATTAATAGTATTACGTTTATAAGCTATAAGTTATTTATATTTAGTATTAAGTTCTTATTATTTTTAAATACTCTTAAATATATAAATCCTCTTTATAAGTACGGTATAAAAATAAATTTATTTATATAAAGTAAGTAATATAGCTAGTTTTATAAAAAAAAACCCGGCTTAGTCCTATAAGTTACTCGTACTTAAAGAAGTTAAAAGGTTCGTACTAAGAGTTATATTTAAAAACTATTAGTAAAGGATTTTTTAGTTTTTTTAGTTATTTTTAAATATTTTATAACGGGCTTAATAAGCTCGTAGTTCTTTTTTATTATAAGTCGTAACTAATTATTTAAATTTAGAGGGCGAAGTAAGTATTATAAAGGGGTTAAAGAATATATCGGAGTTTAGAGTATTTAGGTCGATATATTTTTAAACCCCGATACTCTTATTTATAATACGAAATACGTTAAACTATTTAATTTAATTATTATAATTAGTTAATTTAGCTTAGGCTAAAGTAAGTATAAGTAAGTTAGTTATTTTAAAAAAATCGTAAGAATTATATTAATAAGTACGTTATTATAGTATAAGGTCTTAACTAAGAGCTAGGCTTATAATTATTACGAATTATAATACGTAGTAATAGGTATATAGAGTATAATAAAAATAGCTTAATTATTAAAATAGAAATAAATAAAAAGAAAAGGTCTATATATACGATATTTAAGATAGATACGTAATTTAGTACGTAACGGGCACTTCGTAAGGTACGATTACTATCCCTATTACGTGACACATCGCTTACTAGAAAAACATAGACCTATATCTCGTGGTTAGCAAACGTAGACCGACCGTGTGACTACTGCAATCTGTCTTACGCCTTTGAGCTCAGATGTCTCAGCCATTCGCTTGCCGGGAATCATCTCCATCCACTTATCGAAGCGTTCTTTTGGTTGAACATACAACACTTAATCCAGGTCAGCACTAGTTCCGGAATTAGGTGAGGGCAAGCCATGCACTCACTCTCCGTTTCAATAAAGCCCGGAGACACGCTGTTGACCCTTGCGAAGTCTACCCATTCTACCGCGAGGCTCTTTGCCAGGTGTACGGCGGCTGCCTTTGAAGAGTTGTAGGCAGCCTGTCGCTGGGGAATGTTGACCAGTGTCGCACTGACTGACGCAGTAATGATGAGGTTGCCACGCCCCTATTGCTTGAAGACCTTCCCGGCAGCCTGCGCCGTCCACATGACACCATCAAGGTTGACACTATTGTTGTCTTTCCATGTCTCCTCAGTGTACTCAAGGCTGGGAATATCAGCGCAGACGCCAGAGTTTGCAATCATGACATCAAGGTGCCCAAAGTCTTGAACAATCTCATCCACCGTGGCGGCAATTGAGGCTCGAGACCGAACGTCGCTCTGGTAAGCGCGAATGTTCACACCTGTGTCCTTGGCAATTTGGCTGGCGATCTCAACGGCATCTTTGCTGGTCGCGTGGATGAGAGCTACATCTGCCCCGGCTTCGGCGAGGCCCCGAACGATCTCGAGGCCAATGCCTCTGGCGCCTCCCGTAACGGCTGCGACCTTGCCTTTCAGCGAGAACTGCGAAAGGACAGGTGCACCGGGATTGGGTGGCTTGTACAGCGGCATGGCGGATGATGTGTGATTGGGACGCGTTCAAATAATGAGTTCAAGTACCGCACTTAAGAAGCAATAGTCAGTTGATACTCGGGCAGGGAGCAGCGAATGCGAGTTCATCGGACATTAGCCTAGGAGGGGTAATTGAGAGGTTGGAGAACTGCGCCAAGATGGCTGAAGTAATCATGCATGGGGATAGGGCGAGAGGGTTCCTCGAGACTGGATAACTATTACTCAGGTGGAAATTCAGTAAGTCGCTCAGTCATTTTCTGTGCATGATTTGACTTGTGGTTGTTCTTTTTCTCTATTCACCCCTTGCTTGAAAGACAACCTATTGTGTTTGACATTCCTCTACTGGGAAATCTCTACTTAAAGCGGTAGTCCACCTACTTGACTTCATACCCGGTGTCGAGAAAGAAACGAGGCCACAGGCTGGGTGATCTGATGGAATGAGCTATCATAATCAAAGAGACTACCCCAGAGTCGGCTTCGCCGCCGGTGCTCGGCTTGTCAGCCATTTCTGGAGAGCATGGATAACCCTCCGGTCTAGTCCGCGGCCCGCGGCGCATCAAGGAAGGGCCCAGGAGTGCACACTGCCGTTACCCGTCGTAAACGCGACGCTGAGTTCCCACAAGCGCCGGGATGGTAACGACCGACCGTTGTCTTAGATATCTATTGCGGGTTCGCAACTGTTCGCGACTTAACGCCCCGAGGATTACTGTCGATCGTCATCAGGTGACACTAACGCTTTTCCAACCCCGACTTAAGGACGCTAGAAAGGCTTCATTTACTCTGTGGGGAAGCGGGTACCTTAGATCAGATTGGGGTAGGTCTCGTGGAGTGACCGTATGCACCCCAAAGATGATGGTTCCATTTCCAGATCCGAGCCCCGGCCAACGCCATGAATACGATGTTTCATTGCAGATCCCATGCGGCAGGTCCTCTCTTAAAAGCGACAGTCTGCCGGCTTCGCTAGCTTGAAGCGTCCTAGCCACCATCGTCTCTATTGGCGCGCAAGTCTATCATCGTGCGAGTGAGTTGCCGCCATATTTTGGGCTTCGCGACTCTTGAAAGTATTTAAGGCGACGATTGGAATGTCTAACATCGAATCGCCTCAAGATCCGAGCGCTGCACTTCTTCAAAGCTAGGGCGTCTGAGTCTCTTGTTCCACATCCATTATGGGCATCTCAAGCTTCCTCCTCCTCGGCCTCGGGGGCGCCTCTCTGGCCGCGAGTCAGTCTTTCCAGTCGACGCCCGTCATGGGATGGAATTCGTACAACCAGGTCGCCTGCAGCCCGACCAATGCCGGTATCACAGCCGCCATCAATTCTATGGCTGACCGAGGCTTCGTCACCGCGGGCTACAAGTACTTCCAGGTCGACTGCGGTTGGGCATCCAGAGACGGCCAGCGAAATGCTACAACGGGCGCGTTGAAGATCGACGCCACCGCGTTTCCTCAGGGTCTCAAGCCCTTGAGCGATCTCGCGAGGTCCAAAGGCATGAAATGGACCATGTACTCTGACGCCGGCGTGCGCATGTGTGACACCCAGGTCCCGAGTCCTGTCGCGGGCTCACTCGGTCACGAAGCCGCCGACGCCGACTTTTTCAAGACACTCAACACAGAGTATCTTAAGTGTGAGTTATACGAGATATAATTGTCGAGTTTGCCTCTAGTGCTACGCGGCATGCGCTGACTATGATCTGCTCTCAGATGACAATTGCTATGTGGACGGTCCCAACTCATCGCAGAATGCGCCCAAAGACCCGCGAACCGATTTTGTATCGCGTTTCACCGTCATGTGGAAAGAACTTCAACGGGTCGGCATTCCGGGCATGCTGATCTGCCAATGGGGAACCCCCTATTCGGCTTCCAGCGGCCTCCAAGGGCCCGCACAATGGACGAAGGGCATCTCGACCTCGTTCCGACTGTCAGACGACATTGCCACGGGCTGGAGCAACGTTTACCGAATCTACAACCAAGCTATTCACATTGTCAAGTCCGGCATCGTCGGGCCGGGCAACATCGCTGATGCTGACCTTCTCGAAGTCGGCAACACTGGCATGACTTTTGACGAGCAAGCCACTCACTTTGCGTCCTGGGCCATGCTCAAGTCTGCGCTTATGATTTCCACCAATCTTGCCGCTCTCTCTGATCAGGCCGTTGCCGTCTTGCAAAACAAGGATCTTATCGCCATCAACCAGGACTCAGCCGTCAAGCCCATCAAGCTAGTTCAGCGCTGGACAGGAAATCGCGACCTCTGGGCCGGTGACCTCGCCAACGGAGATGTCGCCGTCCTTGTCGTCGACCTGAGCAATGCGGCCCGCACGCTGACTGTCCAGCTCGCCGATCTCGGCATCACCTCCGCCACGGTCAAGGACCTCTGGACGTCAAAGTCGGTCACCAACGCCAACAGCTACTCTGCGCAAGTCAACGCTCACGGTTCCCTCGCACTTCGCCTCTCCAACATCCAGCGCTCAACCGCCGCCGGCCCGAAGTACAACTACGTCTCCGTCGCCACCGGCTCGCTGTCATCCGGCGCGAACCTGCAGTCCTGCTCCGGCTGCACGTCCTCTAACAAGGTCGGCAACCTCGGCGGCTCCTCCAACGGCCGCGTTGTGCTGTCCAACGTCTCGACGTCAAAGGCCGGCACGCAGACCGTCCTGTTCGACTACATCAACGGTGACGTCGGGTACCTGGGAGGCAGCAACAACGAGAGGCTGGCGTCCATCAGTGTCAACGGGGGCGCCGCGCAGACGGTCAGCTTTCCTCTCAGCGGGTACAACTGGTCCGCAGATGTTTTCAAGGGATACGCAGTTGAGTTGACAGGTTTCACCGCCGGCGGCGCCAACACCATTAGCATTTCGGGCGTGGAAAGTGCTTGGGCACCGGACTTTGACCGGGTAGGCTTAGCTGCGTAGACGTTGCATGCACAAGAATCAAAGTCGTGAAGAATTTGCATAATGTTTGCCGTTCATGATCAATAGTCCCCTTGCCACGCTACAAACAAAAGCATTGTGTCTAATTCACAAGTGCATGTCAAGACTTAGAAGAGGAAATGGGATTCACCAATCTGATGATTGGAATACCTGGCTGATGCATGAACCAAATTCCTTCGCAATGCATTGTCAGACATATTAATTGCCTCTACCTAAGCCATTGGCCCTTATCTCCCTATTCTCCTGCCTAGAGTAGTTTCCAATTCTCAACATCCAGAGCTGCAAGGTCACCACCACACAATGTCGCATGATGATTGTAATGAACAACTTCGACTCCCAAATTCTCAAGTTGTCCGAAGAAAGGGGATGGAGCTCGACGGTTGCAAGCGATGTGCAGGGTTCGGAATTCCGGAAGATCACCACGTCGTATCCTTGTTACCAATCTCTCCATTGTGTGGTACTCACGTCGACTCGTGTGATCCATCGGATTTCTAATGGCCCAGTTGCACCCTGGCAAAAATAACGTACGCAGTGAAATCGGCAATGAATCGAAAAACGCCCCTGGTCGGACGGCCTCGCGTGGAAAGGGCGTGGAATGGTCGCGACAGAGGGCGTGGTTGAAATCTACTCGCAAAGTATCCAGACGGGTGAGTTGTTGCAACATATCCAGGCCGTCCCACTCCCACAATGGATGCTCAATAGGCATAGTACCTATATCAATGCTCAGTCGTAGCCGTTTGAGAGTAGGTGCGAAAGGCTGTAATGAATCTAGCAAACTAGCTATTCGGCCGGGGTGCTGCGGCATGATAATCTGAATCTCTTCCAGAATTCTGCAGACTCTGCAAATCGACTTATAGTGGTCCACAAACAATTGTGTGCTACGCGGGCTTCCACCAATTTTTAGACTCGTAAGGTTTGCGAACAGATTATCAAGACTGAGGCCTAGAGGAGTCTTGATTGGAATGAAGTCGAAGAGAGCGAGAGAGGTCAGGTTTGGCGCGAGTTGAAGCGCGCACGAGTATTCAATGGTGTCGTGGAGGAACTCCCGCCCTCCTCCTCCTGGAGAATCCGGTTTGCCAAGGGTCAAGTGTACTAGATTTTTGAATCGGGTGCGTGGGTTTTGTGGCGATGTAACTGTTGATAAGCTCTCAGCAACCACGAGGTTCTTTAAAACTTCACCCGACCATTGTACTGGCAGCTTTACGTGCTTCGCCCGAGTCGTGTGTGCCAGCAACATAGTCGCCAAGAATGACTGGACTTCGTTGCCTGTGACAATCCACTTTGGCAGATTCGTCGTATCCTCATCGCGGGGAAACTCAATTCCAAGCTGTTTGCTTCTTTTTTTCAATAGCATCGTCGCTTCTTGATATCCACGCAGGGTTTCATAAGAGAAGCTGTCTAGACAAACAGATTCCACAAGTTCTCCAAGGTCAGGGCACTCAACGAGAGACCTGACAAACAGCGGTAAAGTTTTTGTCGCCCTATAGTGTCGGAACAGAAACATCTGGCCAACTGCCCGCCATGCTGGGCCAACGAGACAGAAAGTCCAAAGATTTCTCCGGGCGATCAATTCCAGACCCTTCTGCCATTCTGCTAGGTCTGAAGATTCATAGCCGGATTCGAGATGAGGAGCTATTCGAAGTAGAATCTCAACGGGTAAGTGTAAGCTTTTGTGTCTGGTTCGAGCGCCCAACATGCCACTTGTATGACTAGATTCGTGGGACATATTTGCTTCTGTTGGTCCGGATGTGGCAAAGTTCTCAAGTCCACTGTGCTTTCCAAAGCCAGGGAACAAAAAAGTGTGCTTGGTAGTTCAAGCTGGGAAGAGTTCCTTGGACACTTGTCGTTGAACTTTTGCAGGAAGAAAGTGCCTGCCGTGGATTATTGAAGAAAACAAGGCAGACGGTGGCCAAGCAATACCAATATTGTGCCGTATCTCCGTTATCCAACAGACACAGGGGGTGTGGGGGCGGTAGGGGGTCTATTCATCATCATATCATGATTTTGACTGTGACAATTTACAGTTCATGATACCCTGCGGTCAACTAAATGGAAATAAAGATGTCCCTTACACGCATCACTGCCATGGGCGAGTGAAGTATTCCGAGCGGAGGTTTAATACCGCTGTCATTTAATTTTTCTATTCTCTCCTGAAGTTGATCTGTCAATAGTCTTACAGCAATCAGGAGTAAATGAGTTTTTCCGACATCTTATCTGAATCAAAGGATGTAGGCTTTCCGCCACCATCACTAGGAAAAGGTAGAAGTAACTAGTCAAAACTGAGGTAGCCTATGTCAACCAAGCCAAAGTCTCATTCAAGCTATTCGTGCATCCAAGACTGCGTATCTAGCACGTGAACAGGCTTGGGCCGGGAATCGTGTAGGACTCAACCGGGGGCCAATCTAGAAACGTCCTTGTCAGCTAAAATGTGCTTCATGGATGCCAAAGAGAAAATTCTGGAAGACGTACAGATGTTGATCGTAACTCCAGGGTCGGTACCCTATAGATAATGAGTAGTTAGTAACCATACTCGAGAGTTGAGAAATTCAATATTTAGAAGCACAACTGCTAACCTTGTACGCGCCAGGCAAGCTGACAGTCGAGGGAGTCTTGGTGCCAGTACCTCCAACAACGTTGATCTGAGCACATTCCATGTAGAACTGGGCACCCGGGTAGCTGCCAGCACCGTGCAGGGCAATCATTTCCGCGCGAAGGAGATACTGGCCAGGAGCGATACACTCTGGAATCTTGATGCTGTGGCGTCCCTGGCCGTTGATGACCTTTTCGGTTCCCCAAACGCCACCGCTGTAGCCGTCCTGCTGAATCTTGAACCAGCCATCTCCGACGCCCGAATCGGTAGTAGCGTCGCTGACCTTCTTCAGATACGCGATGGTCGGGCCCTTGTGACTGCTGTCCATGACATCCGCGGGCGCAGAGCCGGTAGAGCTGAGCATGTAACGCCAGATAGCGGTAACGTTCTGCCCGGCCTGAACGGTGATGACCTTGGAAGTAGGCGTCGTGGGGTTGGGGGCGCCGTTGCATGCGAGAGAGCTGGAGGTAACATCTTCGATAGGGCCATTGTAGGAGGGAACGCGAACGCCGTTGCCGACGCCCTGGTTCGTGCCGCCCACCTCGAGGGACGAGAAAATGGTGTGGGCACTGGCCATACTGGCCGTCAGAAGAGGAATAAGAACCTTCATTGCAGGTTTGGGTTAGGCGTTTCTTGGTCAGAAAATGGCTGGATGAAAGAATGAATATGTGCTCAATCGCGCTCGGCTTGATTAGGGCAGTGGTCAAGTAGAGATGAAGCAACGAACTCGAGGGGTATATATAGGAGTTCCTTCCCTTCATTGATCCATCAAATGCTGACATCGCGAGTGTCATTTTCTTCTCGGAGGGTTTCCCGTTCAAGGCGAGTTGGACCAGCTGACAAGAAGCCAAGACTGCCACGCCGGCGACACACCGGCCGTGATGTTGCTATATTACGACAAATAGGCGAATCGTCTGGCTTTATGAGGTCGGGAGGATCATCAGCCAGGGCTCCGGGTGGATCGACGGAGGATGATGGTCCGGATTACACAGCGATGTTGGTCGGAACCGGTACCGAGATTCCCGTTCGCCGTGACCCAAGGCTCTGGGCGTTCATTTAATTGAGGTACTCTAATTCGTGCTTCTCTAGTCGTCCTTCTCTGCAAGTGACATGTCTTCACCTGGCTCCCGGCTCTGCGTCTCTTTATGCATGCGAAGATCGTCTGAGAGGACGTTGTCAACAGTCAACTGCCTAAATCAGCAGGGCATGCGCAGCGATTGATTACCCTATAGCATCGATATTTCCCACCCAGCCCGACGACTGAATGATACATGTGATAGGCAAATTTTGAGACGTCGACAGACTCTACATGCTCTTCTAAAATGCCGCGTTTGCGACGTGAATCAATAACTGACCTCTAACTTTACTTCAGACCGGCTCAGCCACCATCAAAACCAAAGCCCCCAGATTATCGGAACAATTTCTGCTCACTTATCCTATGAACTTACATTCCGGCAAGCACCCGCTCCTGCAATTAGCATTTTCAGTTGATTCTCGACATTAAACCCACATTAGATGTCGTGGTCACGAACTACCTATGCATATCTATTCCACAATACCGGGCCTCTTCAGCCTTGCCATATGTGAACAGGGGCTCTCAAGTGTTTAAATTGATTAAACACGTACTTCTGCGGAAAAGTGTTGTTCTTCGGTTTCCGCGACGGATGCGCATTGACGTTTCGGCATGCCGCGGTCTTCCATGTCTTTGAATAATGATCATGTTGAGTCGACAATTGAGAGAAAAGCAAGTTCACTGTCAGGATGAGGATAAAGGTGGACGACAAGAAACACGAGCGTTGGGCGTCAAACCTATGGAGCTTCGAGAGGGCAGATAGCATGAGGAAGTCGTCTGTAGCCGTATTGAGAAGGAAAAAGAAAAAGCTACCTTGCCATGCACTATTTAATATTACTGCAATTGCAGAGTCGATGCGACTTGTGTTGATTGCATGCATAAGATCAATTTTACCCAGTAAAGGTATCCGCGCAGATCGGACTCAATTAAAGAACGATACAGTCACCCGAAGTCATAAGTTTTAGAGGTTGCTTAGGTCATCTTTGAGGCCCGGATTTGATCTTGCTGCCATGCAAAAACGGTCGTCCGATGCTTACTAGGGCAAGCCACAAGGAAGAAAAATCTAGATCGATCAACGTCACTAACTGGAATTTTTCGACTCTTCCTTCCCGGGTGGCTTGCTTAGTAGATCCACTAACTCGCTGGTTCCTGCACTAGACCACGCAAAGAGTCCTCGAAGCCCTGGCAGGGTGGGTATTTTGACTGGGTGATGCGGTGTTAGTCAGATCGATGACTACTGTTTTTTTGACAGAAATTCTCGGCCGATCTCCCGGCATCTGTGCCCAGATGGATACGGAATTTTGCTAGCAAAACCAGTCCATGAGATGGCCGCGTTGGCAAATCGATTATTCAATGCATGGCGGCGAACGAGAACTTAACTATTATGTCACCCTTCATACGATGCCAACAGCTTTGGGTCACGTTACTTGCAAGCTTGGCACTAGACATGCGTTACGTAACACCACTTCCCCCTTTTCTTCGGATTGTCGTCTTGGCAAGCCAAGTGAGATTCCCAACTTCCTAACCGTGGACAGTGGAGCACCTTATCATCCAAAGAAGCTTTACCAAGGCGTTGCATCTTGCAGCGCCTAGGAACAACTCTTCCGAGCCTCCGCATCGAGCCTCTTAAGACGGGAAAATGGAGTCTTGATCATGACTACTTCCATCACCATCATGCCCTCGAGAAGTGACGAGGCAGAACTTCCCCACTGTTTAACTCCATCATTTTACATTACTAGAGGATTACCGCAGTACATATAGACGCTACCCTACCCTCGAATTCCGCACTATTTAACCTCAACCCTTTTCTTACTTATCCTTTCCTCTATTCTACCCTCTCCCTTATTAAAAAATTAAAATCGTAGTTTTAATAGCTTATTAATAAGCTAATATTATTATTTAGAAATAGGTAACCTATTCTTATATATAAATACTAAGAGTCTTATTATTATAGAAATAGTAATAAATATACTAAAATACTTAAAAGAGCTTTTTAATAAACTTTTAATACTATTTAAAATAATTATCCTTAAGCTATAAAAAAAAACTAAGGTATTATATTAATATAGCCCTATCCGTCTCGTTAATATTAATAATACCCTTCTTAGTATAAAATATATTAATAATATTTTATAACTACGTTATTACGCTTCGTAAATCGTACTTAACGTTAATAAGGCTTTTAATATTATTTATTAAGTCTTTTATTAAAGTTATTATTATAAAATTAGTTTAGTTATTAATATCTTAATAAGTATTTTAATTTAGTATACTTAAAGGCTCTTATAGCTCTTAAAAAGAGGCTTTTAAAGGACTTATAATTAGACTTTTTGCTTATTATAAATAAAATTATTATAATTAAAACTATAGTAATTAAAGCTATAGTACTATTTATAGACCTCGATAGTAAGTAATTAATAATATAATTATTTTTCTCTTATAATAAGCTTAAAAAAATATTTTAATTTAAGTATTAAGTAGGTATTATACTATTTTATTAAAACTATATTCTTATACTTATAACTTAGAAAGAATTAACTTTCTTCGATAATAAGGTACTTAGAGGCAGAACTTCCCAGCTTCACATTGTTTGCACACGAAAAGAGCCACGAGTCCTGTGGATACCTGGCAGATTTGCTCCCCGCTTCTCCCCATAAAACCAGGTTCACTCAAGGTGAACCGTTGGACCGTAGAGCCTCACGCGAAAAGAGGGGGTCAATGCCCTCGCAGTCTACCAATCATCCTGCCTGAAACCAAGCAGCAACTGCCAACGAGAATGGGCTCGCGGCAGTGCAAGCTTTAGTGCCGAGGAGAGTCACGGGAGGATTGTGTAGATCCGACAATCCAGTCCGCGGTGTGCGCGGGAGCTCTCACCGGGGGAAAACCGAGCGGGCCTCCGGGACAAAGGTATCCACTGTTTGTGACGTGACGATCGAAATGAATCGGACCTTTAGCCAAACCGAGCGAGCTGAATTACAAAACAGAGCGCGGTGTCTTCGACTGTCCGCTCCAAGTCCTTCTAAACTTCCAAGGCTGTTCAATAACGGGTTAATTCAACGGTTATGTCTCAGTTAAGACCGCTACAAAAAGCAAATTGCGGCCCGGTGAGAGACGTGCCCTAGCTACGTACCTAGTATCAGGTAGGTAGGTAAAGATAGAAACCAACGAACACGAGATAATTACCACATGCATTTTTCTTTGTGTTCCCCAACAGCTTTAACTGGAGGGTGCCAAATGCACCTCTCGGCGGCATGCCTGCTTTAGTGGCGAGTCGAGTCCTCGAAGCGAGAAGAGAGATAGAGAGAGAGAGAGACTGCGAGAGGTCTGGCCTGGGCCGGCCGGACGAGTCTGCGCCCCTTTCCCGAACCCACTTGGGTCGGGTGGAGGGTCGCAGTTTGGCAACCAAGAATTTCGACAAAAACTCCTGATTTGTTTGCCATGCGAACCCACTTACCGCGTGGGAGGTTGCATTGTGCAGTCCCATCGAGAATTTCGATAAAACTCCTGGGTATTTACCATTGCGCCAGTGGTACATTTGCCTCCGTTTCTCTCTTCCCTTCCCCGTTGCGCGCGTAGTATCTTCTTTGCGAGTTTCCGGCCACCACATTCTTTTGATCAACGACTTTCCCACCCCTTCCACTCTTTTAACTTAGACTTACTCGTAAAGTTTAAGATCAGCAAACATCGATCAAGTTGATTAACATAAGCGTTATTCAACGTCCGCTCTTTAGACCTAATTTACAGCTATAACTACCTCTGTAAATCGATACCAAGTCCATCATAATGGCCGTCCGAACCGCCGAAGTAGCCGCCCCTGCCGTCACCACCGCACCGACCGGCACTCCCGTGCCCGTCGCGACGGTGGCACTCACGACGACCTTCACGCCGCCCGCAGAATGTACCGAGAATCACTTGACCATGTTGGTCGGCGCCCTCGAGAAGATCTGGATTAACGAGCCCGTACCTCTACCCAACTCGACCCTCTCATCCTGCCACCCCACGCAATGGGTTAACGGCTACTCATCCGCCCTCTCCGCCTCCAGCTCCATCGCACCCTTCATGAGCCCTCTTGTTTGCCCGAGCGGATACAGCACAGAGAGCAGCACCTGGTCAAGCGGATACATTGCCTGCTGCGCTTCGTAAGTTCTCCTAGCCCTACGATCTGAGCCAAGAATAGCCAAGGTTATGTCCAAGATGCTAATTCTACCTGACAGCGGCTTCACCTTCGCTGCACCCGCCAAGACCGCCGACGCCGATCGCCCGGCTTACGGCGGCACATGCTACAGCAACTTCGACCTCAGCCAGACCGCTACCGTCACCGTCTACAACCCTGAGGAACTCTCCACCACCATCGCCTGGGTTGCGACAACAACGCCCGCACAAGCCTACGCTCACCCCATCGACGGTATTGCAGCAGACTACACACCGGGCGCCTCCACCTCAGGTTCATCCGGATCAACAAAAACTAACAGCGCCGGTGTGGCTGTCGAGACGGACGAGAACGCGGCGCCTAGATTGGGAGGTAACTCAAGGGCAGCATTCATTGTTGGGTTCTTGCTCGCGAGTGTGATGATGTGGTAGATTCCCCCCAACTTGCCATTTCAGGCTGCCGGTTGTGATCAGCGACTACAACCATTATGTTACGACTTAAGATTCTGCTTCTTCAACTACCGGATTATCGAGGGAAAACGGCACTTCGCCAGGTCATGTCATTTTGCAATATTACGAAAGAATATTCTTTGGGTCTACCTTACCTCTCTAGTAGCCTTTTATACTACATAATTTTCAACCAAGCTCTGCGTAGCTTATCCTCGTCATCGCGTGGGATTATGGGCCAAAATCACCTGGCACCAGCTCGTACACATGCCCTGCCCGAGTTTCCTTTGTTTGAAATGGCTGAACATGGAGGAATGTGTCAATGATTTGAAAAGTACGCTGAGTGCGACTAAGTAGGTTTCGACGAGTGCGGTGTCCCACATTCTGCTACGTCAATTCGACCAACTAGTGTTAAGGTACATGTACAGTTGCTTCAAGCCTTGAAGATATGGTAGCTCGGTATCCAGATTCAGAAACCTTCAATCTGGGTCAGGCATCGCCCGATTCAAAGCTCGTCTCTTACCGTATCACGATGGTCATCAAGCGCTTCTTTCAGATTCTCATCCGTCCCTGCCATCTTGTGCAAGTCCGCCCATCTTTCATCTTCGTCTTCATCGTCAATCAGAACCGCCAACCTGCTGACGAATTCGATGAGGGTTTTTCGGTCCGCGTTGAGCCAGGCGGCCTTCGTCAATAAATCAGCATTCATTCTCGCAACGTCAACGAGACACTTAAGCTCTTTGGCGCTAGGAACATAGGTAACTTACTTCGGCGTTTTGTATCACGGCCTGCCTGGACTCATACATCTTTTTTGTTTCTTGCGTCACCTTAAAAGTACCCCGAACGCCGAAGATCTTGCACAGCGCCATCCCAGCATGTTCTCGCTCCTCTTCTGTGTCCAACGATGCATCGAGAAATGGCTTGAACTTGGATGTAACATAGGTAAAATTGGTCGCCTCGACAATTTTGGCCCATGCCGCCTGCGTCTCGTTGAGGGGCTCCATCTCGTCATGAAACCTGTTGAAAGCTAGCTGCAATTTGTCGCCGACGTCTTCCCACCCAGCTTCTTGCAACCGAATCTAGAAGTTTCAATGGTGGTCAGTCACAGGTGCAAGACGAAATGTATATATACTTTCTATCCGAAGTTGCCGAGTTTCTTTTATTCGGCATGTGGGATAGACTTACTTCAATCACATCGCGCGTACTAGCATACTTATATAGGCCCATCCAATTGATGTCCTTCGCTTCTCGCCTCAATACAGTCCCATAAGCTGTATCAAAAACAGCCTTTGCTATTTCAATGTCGCTGAAGGAGTTTGAGAAGGCTGTGCCATTTTCATTGGGCATTGAGGACTCGTTCCAAGGCATGTACATGTAAAAAGCCTGGTAAAGGTGGAACAGAATATTGAACAAAAGGGAGAAGACATGCTTGAAGACAAAGCCACTGGTCCCCATGGTGAAGTTGCGGAGATTCTGTACTGGGATCGAATTGTACCAAGCGACTTTCAATTGGAACAGAAAAGGCAAGGTCAAGAAGTTGATCGAATGCAGGATTTCAGCGCAAACATGACGGACGTTGTAACACTTAAGTACTTGGTATGAGCAATGTCAAGCAGAGCAAACCACCTCTTTCCACCTTGGCTTCTGAGATTTTGGGGCGTCAAATTGATACAAACCAGCCCTATTCTCACGCCCACTCGAACCAACAAACGTCCACTTTTCTGCAGCATCCCAGCAAGGCAGCGCCTCTCATGAGGCACATCCGTCAGATACAGTTAGCTCAAGGCCCCCCTGCAATCATCACAGGAAAGATTCACGCCTTGTCATTGGCCCGCACACCTTCGTAGGATTTCCATCCTGGCCTCTTCAGGTACGTAACCGTTAGGAAGGCAAGCGGGAATGATGCGGTTTGTAGGCAGTAGGCTGGAAACGGGCATCAGAAGCCTCTCTGGTCGGGCACATAAGTCGCATGCAAGGACGTACCTTAGGCTCAATGTGACACCTCATGGCTCAAGGAGGTTGTCTGCCATGGACCGCTACCTTGGCGTAGGACTCGAAGACAACCGACAACAGATGGCCCTTTCCAACTTCGGTGAGAGACATTCGATATACGCCATCGGAAAGAGCAGCGGCAAAACGATATTACTTGGACTGTAGGCTCTCGTCATTCAAGGTGGGCGGATAACATGAAGCAGAACTTTGTTCGATTTCCTCATTGATAGTGAATGCTACTCCCGATTTTTCAGATCTTCTCCCTCAAGCCTCACCACCTATCATGATACACGTCCCATCAGCGATGTTCTTAATCTGCCAGCATCAAAATATCCGGATGCAGAAGCTGGAGCAATGGACGTGGCTGTGCCTCAGTTTGACGCCTCACCACGCTTGGCAGAAACCTCACAAACGGAACTTCGGTTGAATGCCTAGTTCTTACGCCCAGGACGAGTTGCTTGGGAGAACGCACCAACAGACGACATGCCTCGAACAGATGCAATAAAGATGTAACTTCACGGGTCTTCACCTCTCATAGTATGGAGAGCCATATGCTTCAGAGGCTATACCCAGATTGAATTTCCCTTCTGACCTTCACTCTTCATCATGCACTCTCTAGTCAAGTGCAGACAGAATAGTGAGGTAATTTTGGAGTTTAATCCACCAACCGTGGCTCAACACTCGAGGAAACTCGGATTCGTACACCAAGTAGGAGCCGCCGGTGTCATCCCGCAGTTGGAAATATACGGGCCCGGAACCCGGTAGCGCAACGCTGTGACCCGGCCCGGGTCAGAGGCTCCTGCGTCGACTGCACTAACCCCCACCTCGAATGCGGGGAAACTTGGAGCCTTAATACCATGCACAGATTTTGCGGGGAGCAAATGGGCAGGTCTCGAATGAGGTCAGCGGTGAGTAGTGCAGAGATATCCTTCCTCCACCCTGTACCTGAAGCAGGCTTTTACATGGAGTATCACTTTTACGCTTAACGCGACTCGCTGGTTCAGAAAGAATCCGTTACCGCCAAAAACAAGATAGATCTCTACTATCGCTTTCATGTCGGTAGAAGACTCCTCGCCATGCTCCCCGCGTGCCAACTCCACCACACGACCACGCAAGATTTGGACCCCTGAAGAAGATGTGACATTAAAGACGCTCGTTGCTCGCTACGGAGACGCACGAGGTCCCCAGGGGCATTGGAAAGATATTGCCGCTGCACTCCAAGACCGCACTGCCAAGGTTAAACCCACTCCACCTTCCAGAGGCAATATGGCTATGAGGGCTGACAGACCACAAGGACTGTCGGAAGCGATGGTTTCATTCTCTTGATCCGTCCATCAAAAAGGGTCGGTGGACAGTAGAAGAAGATCAGATTCTCTTGTCGGCTTACGCTCGAATGGGCCCTGCATGGCACGACATCGGTATGCTAGAATCCTGTAATACCCATGTATTATCTCACTCACTGATACCGGTCTCTTTGCTTGCGAAGCCCTCCTGATACCTGGGAGGAAGGATGACCAATGTTCGAAAAGATACATGGATATCTTGAGTCCAAAAGTCAAAGACCGCCTTAGTGGATGGTCGCCACAAGAAGACGAAGTTCTACGAGAAGGTGTTCGAACGCTAGGTCACCGGTGGTCTGCTTTATCGGCAAAGCTGCCAGGCCGGCCACCTCTCACCTGTCGTAACAGATGGCGAGCACTTTCAAAAACATCCAAAAGGCCTCTGACTACAGGAACACCCTCCCCCCGGTCGCCTGCCACAAGGAAGCGTGGCGATGCCATGGCATTTGATGCACCCGAACCCTCTTTAAACTCGCTCCTAGTAGCAACTGGAGCTGATACCGACATCGGAAACGTCATCGATATCAATGGTATAGTCACATCTATGGTGGAAATGAGCACAGGGCTAGATACGGACGACTTTCGCTTCGTCGGCGATGCAGTGTCTTACAATTCAATCCTACACCAGTCCCAACTCAGCTCAAATCTTCCGCCAAGCTTGGATCTTGGCCACCTATCCGAACCGCTGCACCAGTCTCTGAGGGAACCCACCTCAAACAGTCACAACAGCACTCCTAAAGAATGGAGATCGAACAAATTTGATACAGAGATACCGCAAACAAATCAGTCTTCTACAGTGCGCAACTTAGAGACATCGTTCTCGGTTCCAGATATCACTTTGGAGACCCCAGCTCTCTCACCAGATCCAATCTGCTCAAGGATATCCCCATCTCAGTACCTCTACGCCTTCTCTGATGGCAACCTGCCAAGTCAGCCGACGGGTCCTTCTATAGATGTAGAACCACCACAACAAGTTGTACACCACCACCATCATTATCACCACCACTACCATCATCATCACCATCATTATCATGAGACGGAAGAGAACTTAAATGGTTCTTTGAGGCAATTAGAGATAGAAGCAGAGACACAATCTCTTCAGTCTTAAATTCGACTTTTGGTCAGCCATCTCCTGCGAAGAGGGATGGACAACACGTAGTGTGTCTAGCAATGAAACATGTGAATATGCGTTATTCCGAATGTAATGTTTCCTTCTAGTAACCGATTGTAATTCGACTTAATGAATAAACAAAATTGCGTCTTAGTGAATGGGGAACGCATGACAAATCTTACGTAGAAAGTAATGCAAACAAAGTATGAAACCCATGTTTATTCACACCATATGAGTTCCTCGTCAATTTCTCAATAACAATTGGGTAAAAATGAAGATCATCAAGCTGCATATCTCGAGGGCTCTTGGAAATTAGGCTGTGGTTCTTGGCTGCACTACCATAGAGCTCAAGCGCCATCGTGGGATGGAGAACCGAGTACCATCCTATTGCCTGAAAACTCCAACCTTAGCTCTACAACTAGAGTCTCCAGGTGCGCCATTCTTGCTGCATGCTTTTCTAAAATCGCAATTGTTGATGGCTTTGACGACCCAGAAGTAGTTATCGTAGTGGTTACACTCGGCATATCCGTTGTCGTAAACATATGGGTCGTTACCACATACGGTAAGCGTGGCGTCGCTATTTGGTGATCCATCGGCGTTGGTGCAGTGACAGTACTTGTACGTATCACAAGCTTAACTGGCCAGAGCCAAGGCTAGAACTGAGAAGACGACTGATGGCTTCATGATGCATGAATATGTGTTGCTGGATATGTTAGCTACAAGCACATATGATTAGGGTATATTTTGGATTGAGACCGAATATACCGTCAACTGGGTCTTGTGTGATATGCTTCTTTTGATGAGCGGTGCTATGTTGAAAAGGGCTCTTCAAGTCTAAATGGCTTCATAACCACCATCAACTGAGATTCTGGGAACAACATTCTTATACAGTTGAACTCGCTGGGACTGGCGTCCGTCGAGAGCGCGGGGTTCTTATCGGTGTGACCGATCCTGCGATGTGGGTGTCACAATCTAAGTTGAGTTCCTGTAGTGTATTCGGGTTGGGAAACCTCAGAGAGGTGTCCACCACCTTGTCTTTCACCTGGCAAAGCCATCCATTAGAGATGGAAACAGACAAGAAAACGTCCGTTTAAACAGGAATCGGAAAGATTTGAACTTTAACTCGAAAATGGGCAGTCATCGGAATTCTCTTTCCCGAACTAGCTAGAATAGGCGAAGAATAGAATGCACGGTGGCTCCATTAGTCGATTATGGTTACTATAGGATCCACTATCACCTTCATACACCTTTACCTCTTTCTCTAAAAACTAAGAGCAAACAGATCTCTTATCCATAATTAAAACCAATAAACCATGCGTCGCCCATTCGAACACTTGCAATCGCGGGCTACGGTGGGCAGGTAAATAAGTGCCATACAAAGAAACCAGTGGGACAAAGTCCAAAAACATACAACACCAGGTATTCGCTGATCGTCACCGACTCAACAACTAATCTGGCCTTCCGGCGGCTTTACAGTTGAGATCTGCACAGGGATGCGATCCAAAATTTCAGGTCTCTCATCGCAAGGAAACATCGCCTTCTGACAAGAGGAAACATTCAGCTACCTACACCACAATGCAATGCGTGTGACGTAACATATCCGTCCTCGGAGCCGAACATAATCTCTCCTAAGCCTTTAGTTGGAGCACACGGCACCGCAGCAGCAGTGGCTGTGCCGCTCTGCCTTACTAACCGACTCCATCAAGGCTTCTCCGAGACAAGGTTGCACATCCTTCGCGACGACACCGCCAATGACCTAAAAGGCCTGTAAATCATGGCCCATTTTAGAGCCCGAATTTAGGTGCCTAGTCAGCTTCCAGAACAAGACCCCTTATCACAGGGCGCACCGTTCTCCTTGGCTGCAGCGTGTGACAACACCTGAGCTGGGCGTGGCCTCATTCCGAGCTCTGCTCAGCCACTTATGGTTGTTCCTTACGTTGGCGAATATGTTACAATCGCTTGCAGTGGAGAGAAAGGAGGAGCGCATGAGTGCCTTATTTGAGGGTGATACACCCCACGCCGAGGCACGCCCAACACGAAGTCTTTGACTACACAGCATTCACCTCTTAACTTCGTTTTTCAGTCACAGCTGGGACTGCACCATACTAGCGACAACCAAAACAACCCAACCAGCAATCGCAACTCACACATCGCTCAAAATGACAACAAAACCCTCCATGCTTGATGTTGACGTGGAACCGCCAACTTATGACAACACCGTCAGCGACTCAAGGGCACAGCTCAGCTGTGGAGAAACACCAACCTTGTTCCTGGATAAAACGACAATCTTCGCCCATACCTCACCACCTCGCGCGCTCTATGAGCTGAGCAACGTTGTGACTGACGCAAAGTCATTGGTGTATGGAGTTCAAAAAGTGGTTTACAGAGTCTCTTCAGAAGCTGGCAGCGACAAAGTGAGAACCAGATTGGACCACATCTACGACTTCACACAGGACCCACTCAAGGGACTCGAAAGCTTCAGTATGCAGCTGAACGATGTCACGGTTATTCAGGGTCAGATGAGCTCTAAGAGAACATATAAAGAAGTCTACCTGATGCCCGGCGTCTCTGGGTGGAAGGTAAAAGATCACTTCAAGGCCGGCGATAGCGCGGTGCACCAGATGAAGCACCAAGATGAGATCCACTGGAAAAACATGAAGGGAGAAGTTGTCGCTATTGAGTCAGTCGCAAAGAGAGACAAGGAAAAGAAACTATTAAGCATGCCTCAGTTGGATGTCATACTCCCTATGGACCACAAGGAATTGGACCTGTTGGTAACAAGCTGGATGGCGAGGCTCTGGAGGCAGTCAGCTGATGAAACCAAGGACCCCATGACCTGGAAAGACTGTAAGTGTTCTGATCCCCAGCATTGTCCATCGCTTGGAATTTCTGCACAATCACATACTGATTTCTGCATGCACGCAGTCAAGGAGATTTCCAAGATCGCCCTTAGCAGAAACAAGCTCGGAAACACTTGGGCGTTAGGTGGAGTCTGAGGGTTGTTCTTGTAGGGCAGACTGGATAACTAAAGTACCTGAAGTAGTTGCTTACGCAGCGACGTTAGTGGATAGGCCAGGAGCGGCTAAAGATACCCTTGATTTCGAGCAGAGCGACGAAGTAACAGGGAAAGACTTATCATGATGATGGAATGTTTCTAGGAATTTGATATTGAAGGGTGCCTAACTCATCATCCAGAATGATAAACCTCAGGGTAACAACGGATCTTAAGCCTGGATCTTACACCTGAACGTGACTGTTGTCCCCCAATCGTCGACTTGGAATCGTTTCTCCTCGCACCTTGTTGTAGTTTCAATTCCAGACTTGACAGTTCCTTGCGGGCGCGCCACAATCGGCCTGATAGGCAGAGAGATGAAGTGAGGTCCTGAAGTTATCTAAGGTCTCGTGCAGTGCTTGAGTTCAAATTTACGCAAGTTGTTGCACCTCAAGCGTCGCTTTAAGGCCGGCATGGTTAGCAAGGATCCCGCTCCATATTGGGTGGTAAGGTGAATCAAATAAGGAAACTTATGCTAGCTATGATGATATATGGACATGCATCCATAAAGCACGCATCAGTCGGATATCGTATTCCTCACGACGCGCCTAGTCTCCCAGCAAGACCTCAAACAAGAAAGAATCCCTGATGGCAGCCACTAAGCACGTGGCCTGACAGTGCGGGGCATTGGGAAGCGCTCAATGCAGTTGGTGATCATACGACGACCCGACTGACATTATTTCCGCAGTGATACCGACACACTTTCGGTACCGGGAACTCTGGGACGACAAAGTAACGCCACAAGAGGAGAAAGCACAGTACGTCGTCACTTACCGGGCTTCCGTTCGTCCAGCCTCCAACTACATAAGTGCGACTCTCCATCTTCAAGCTTCCGCTTCATGTTCCCACCCATCACTTTGACTACCATAAGTAATAATTTTTTCCGAACAAAACTCGATAGCAACACTTACACCTACCACCATGAGAGCTGCAAGATATTACGGCAAGGAAGATATCAGGATCGAACAGGTTCCAGAGCCACCATGTGGCCCTAATCAGATCAAAGTGAGATTTCCCCAGTGTATCCTCCTAAGTACATAGTCCGCCCGGCATCTACCCCGCGCGGGGAAGATGGAGGGACTGTAACATTACTTTTGGAGTTCAGACTTGACACTGACACGGACTTCACCTTTCCCCAGATTGCCCCGGCATTCGTCGGTATCTGCGGGACTGATCTCCATGAATACCTCGGCGGCCCTAACTTCTGCCCCGCCTCGAGACATCCGGTCACAGGCGACCAGATCCCCGTGACGCTCGGCCATGAATTCTCTGGCATCATCAAGGAGATAGGCTCAGAAGTCAAGCAGGAGCATCTCAAAATCGGCCTCCCTTGCGCCGTGCAGCCTACGATTTACTGTGGTAAGTGTGCTGCTTGCAAGGCCGGTGCCGAGAATGCGTGCCACACAGGCGGATTCATCGGACTGAGCGGCTGGGGTGGCGGCCTGAGCGAGGCGGTGTCGGTGCCCGCGGATCAGGTCTTCCCTTTGCCCGAGGGCATTCCTCTCGAGCTGGGCGCCTTGGTGGAGCCGCTTTCGGTAGCTTGGCATGCCGTCTCTGCCACTACCGTCACGTCAGAATCCAATGTTTTGGTGATGGGAGGCGGTCCGATCGGGCTGGCCGCTGTATTGTGTTTGAAGGCGAAGGGGGTTTCGAATATCATGGTAGCGGAGATTGCCACCGCCAGGCAAAATTTCGCAAAGGAGTTTGGAGCAGCACACATCATTGATCCCAAGAGCCAAGATGTTATGGAGGAGGTGATGAAGATTACTGGTGGCATTGGCGCTGATGTCACACTTGACTGCGCAGGTGTACCGGCTAGGTATGTAGTCCGTCCATTTTTCTTGCAGTTCTTTTACTAACACTTGGAACAGTGTCAAAGCTGCGTGCATGGCCGTCAAGACACGCGGCACGGTCATCAATGTTGCGATCTGGGAGAAGGAAATTCCCTTCAACCCAAATTGGGTAACGTGGAGAGAAAGCTCGTATAAGTCTGTACTTGGATATCAGAAGAAGGATTATCAGGCCGTGATTGAGAACTTGAGGACAGGTAAGGAGTCTCGTATATTCCGTTTGCCCGAACCGCTACTTACTTACAGGTCGTTAGGAGCCCTCAAGCCTGCCTCCATGATCACGAGGAAGATTCCTTTGGACGATCTTGTAGAACATGGTATCAAGGCGTTGATTACGGATAAGGACAACCAAGTCAAGGTTTTGGTTGATGTTGGTGCTTCTCTATGAGATATGATGACACGGCGTTGTGAGCTGAGTTTTTAAGAAGAGCCATGAGACGGTCCGCCTTGACATGGGACAGGCTTCGAAGGAGGGAATTTCGACAGTGTGTTTTTGCTATGTTTGTACTACGTATTTGTATCGTATGAATCGATGAAAACCAAATCCATCTTATGGGTCCTAAACGAGTCTCTATTTCTTGCAGAAACAGCCACACTTGCCTTCAGCCTCGTTCACACTCTGAAGCACAAAACCAGCTCCGCACTTTCCTTCATGTCAGCACATGTTACGCGACAACTTTACTGTGCATCTTCTCAGGTGAGCAAATCACTTACCTCACGCGGACAAGCCGTCGCGCAAACTCCCTCGATGCCTCTGCACGCAGCGTTTGAGAGCTGTCAGGAATGTTAGAAAGTTTGAATCATTTTCTAGGGTACCCATAAGCTTACGTTATTGTTGGCAAAGGCTCTGCAGTAGGACTTCTGGGCAGCTGCCTGACCGACAAGAGCCATGGAAAGAATCACCGAGAGAATGGTAGGCAATTGCATTTTGAACTAAGATTTCGGGGGGTATGATGCTGTCGAGTATCTGTTGAGGAGAGACGTAATGTGACTTGGAGATGTGAAAAGTACCAAAGTTCTCTGGTTCAGTAATTCGAGAAATTGGGCCGCATTTATAGAAGTCCGTGCTAAATTCGAATTATAGTCGGCACAAACTCTGGTGAGTTGGTGCGTCAGCGGCTGCAGCGTATGAGGAAGTTCGATATAGATTGCATTCTCGAACCTTGAACGGCATTATACTCAAGTATCAGGGGCTGAACCCAAGAGTTTCCGGCTTTTAGAGTTTGTAAAGGGGTGCGCCGAAGAAGCGAGTGGAACCACTAAACCCCTAAATATTTGTCAAGTTGATGACCTGAACGTGCCCTGCTCCTGACGCGACTCAGGAGCAGCGCGTGACTTCAGGTTTCCCCCTAGGTTTTTGCGCAGTCAAGAGCTCCTCAAGTGCTTCCACGAACATAACCCGAATTTGAACTGTTGCCTCATTGATGAGCTATCAAACTGATGTTTTCCGCCCCTTGATGTTGAAGATGCGATGTAAAGTAATAGAAAACTGAGGCAACTCCATCTGTCCGAATTGGAGAGCATTGGCTTACGTGACTTGCATATCACTCTTCCACAAATCTTCTTCAACGATTCTCACAAATAAAGAGGAAGGGGGACAACATAGCGATCCGATAATGCTACGGGTTGCAGCCCATAAAGACCAGTATTCATACTGTCTATCGCCCATGTGTTCAACAGATCATCAGAAAGAGCTGAAACAAAGAACTCTCGCCAGGGAATGTCATCTTCATCTTTATCTCATTCACTAGACGGGCTAATATCTCGATGCCGAGGTCTGTGGACAACAAATCTTGTGACGAGGATTTGTACGAGGCAACAAATTCTTTGCGCGATATGCACCCCGTAGTATTTTTGATGACAGTCAAGCGCCCATTTGTAGGAATACACTATCATTGTTTGCTCCTACTGCAGTGGATAGGAACCTTATCTCCAACATATTTGCGGAAAAAGATAAAGTATCGAACGGCCGTTGTCACATCATTCCATTCCGTTTCAAATTCTTCTTGTTCCGGCCTGACACATCTCTTCTGCTGTTTTTGACAATCCTCGAGGGCAGTGCACCAGTCTTTAAGTTAGTCTAAGAAGATCGTAAATACGCCTCAAAAACGATACCCAATACTGAACTGCCGCCAAATCGCCCTGCAGTGACGGAATCCGCCGTGATGAAGTGGGTTTAGAAAGTCGTCGACTACACGCAAGTCCAGGCCGACATCTCTACAGGGCACCCAGCACAATTCAACACGTCGTGCCACTTCGCTATTGACGTCCCCGATCTGCGAAACGTATCCAACTCGCCATACCCATATGAAAGACGATTAACACTTATCCTCCAATCGCGCGACCTGTCGCCTTCCGCAGTATAGCAAATCTCACTCACCATTCACAAACACGACTCTTGCTCCAAGCATGAAATGCTTCATTTCAGATCGGCCGTGTTAACCTAACACTCGCGGAAGATTTGGCCGACGAGATAGCTCCCGCTTTCTCTCATCTCCGTTTCTTGCCGGAAGGCTGAGTCGTCCGCCTTGATGACTGTTCGCCCAAAGATGGAGCCCAAATCAATCCAGGCAGAAAGTCCTTACATACTATCGACGAGATTATTCTTCGCATTGTCACCTCCGGCCGTTGTCAAACTGCCCTCGAGATATGCGTAAAAAGTCAGAGGCCGGTCGAGCTTTTCTTCTTGCCTTTCGATATCCGAATGGCAGCTGAGCACGAATACCGGGTTGTCTGCCGACCAAAAGACTGTTGGATCACGGCAACCAGTCAGTATCATTGACACAGGCTATGGAAGTTTTCCAAACGCTCTGGCCCCGAACAATACCAGCATATTGAGATCATTTATGAAGGATCACGGATCATCAGAGATTCCATCATAGAAATATTGGAACTAACAGATCCCATGGACAGTCTACTTAAAGACCAGTGATTGTCATTTGATGTTCTTTATGATGAGACTACTCGGAGAATTGAATTGGTTAAGCTTAACTCATTTGGAAGCAGAAGTCCGTGTGGATCTTGCCTATTTCAATGGGTTCGCGATGGGAAGATTCTCTATGGTGAGCCCGACAAGGATGTTGTCGAGTTCTGAATTACACAATGATGGTAAAATACTTAGTTCAACATGAATCGTCTCAACGGAAGGTGACTTGGATTAAATATGAGGCGGTTTAGATACCCACGAGACATTTCTCAACTTAAATCTCACATAGTATCCATACTCATGACATGGGATATCGCTGTTGTACAAGTTTCATCCTATATCTACGATAGAAAGAATTAGGGCCTGACCTGGGGCGATAGTTACGGTCTCCAGGTTTTGTATTTCTAGCAGTACAAGAAATCAAGAATCGTTGTTTGATCGAAGTGCTGAGCCACAATCGTGTCTCAAGAAGCTGGGAGATTTGTACCAAAAGATACCCGTCGAACGTGAGAAGTTCTCTGGGAAAGTGGTCGACTCGCTGGGAAGCCTCGCAATCATCGTCAATTGAATGACCAAGGCTATCCCGATGCCGTCTCTTTCTCGCAGGACCAGATGTTCATTATCCGGGCCCAGGAACTTGAAGCTGAAACCACCGAACTCAAGAAGGATCTCGGCCTGAGCGAATTTGCCGTCCCCATTATCAAGCTCAAAGAGCGAGGCAAAACAGAAGGGGCTTTGAAGTGTCTCGACGAATTTCTTGTTGCTAAGGCAGGTGCTAATATGATCGACCTGTACAGTGATATGTGGGATGACTGCGGGTCCTACTTTGGCGAGCAGCACGAAGACGCCAAGGTCAAAGGGAAGATGGATTGGATACCTCTACCAATCGAAGCGCCCAAGACTAGGGAGGAGCTATTGGGCTCCGCCGAATTTGGGCAGAGGAGAACGCTAAAGACCCGACTGAGCCTATGAAGCTCTATGATATCATTCGGAGCAACAAGGATGCTACTGAACTAGACAGGACCGGATTCTATCTCTCGATTCCAGTCGACTCGCTTGCGTTTGAAACATTCACGAAGCTCTTTGGGAACTCCAAACCCGGGAAGCGGATCATATGGGAAGATTTAGAGTACTCGTTGGAATGAATCGGGTTCTCGTCGAGGTCTATATACGGGATCTGTACTTCCTTCATTGCAGACGAGGGAACTGCAGAGCTGCCGCTTACTATCAAACACCACTACAAGTCGGAAGTCTCTGGTCGAAGGCCTGTAATACTTGCCCGGAGATTGCTAAAGGCTTACGGGTGAAATGCGAGCGCATTTCAAGTGGTTTGATGGATAAGTGGCTCTTTAGGTATCATTATATTACAGATTGAACTATCTCAGAATACATTCGACAAGTCAACTTCGGTTAGGGGTCGTAAAACATCGTGAACATAGAGTTGCGTCTTCTCTATAGCTTTGTGAATGTTTAGCAGCTGTTCCTTCGGTATGTCCCGTATCACGATGGTTTAGGATTCTCTTTCATTCCATGCGTAACACCGCTGCTTTTGGATCAGCTTCGCTTAGGCTATAACTACAATACTCTCAGCTGTTTGTAAGCCCATGGTACTCGACACTGTTCAGCTTGAATGATACGCCGTGGCCCGAGTCCCATAGTGTGTCAATGAGACTCGTGACGGGGCAGGTGATAGCTATGCACGCATCCGCAGAATTTCGTATTAACTTGGTGTAAGATGTCACCATGTCATTTTGCACTGCTTACGTGTGGAGCTTGCTATCTCAACGCCACATAAGTTGATTTATGTTTGAAACAGTATCACTCGACACCAGCATGAATCAAAAACCAAACCGGGTTCTCTGCAAACCCTGGCCTAGGTAGTTCTACTCCCGTGTGTTGACTTCCGCTGTCAGGCAATCTCCCCAATCCCCGGCCAAATTCATCTATCCCACCATTGGTGTGGCACAAGTTGTCAAGAACCTACTCGATTCGACACTCATCATGTCCTCAATCAACTTGACGAAGCTAGCTGGGGTGACTGACACCGCGGCTGGAGATAATAACCTCAACTAACGCTGCACATCGTGGGTACTGAGCCAACTTCACTACGCCCCCAAAGTTGACCTTTCTGTCTAATTAAGGTACTCGAGCAATCGTTCGCCGAAGGTCATGAGCGTGTGAAGCCCAACCCTGCATCAGGCACAGAAGCCGACACCCAAACTCAAATGACTTGGAACATCACCGGGCTGCGTTTCCTATCCAAGCACATACGACCACACCCATTGGAAAATTCGGGATCCCGTCCGCTCTCCCATAGACAAGCCAATGAGGGGCTTGTGATCTTCACCGGCGCGAAGAGAGGCTGCCCCTTCACGCAACGACGTATAGGTAGCTCATGAGCTTCACTAAATTCATGAAGATGCATGCCCTGTATAAATCGTATCACTCATTTTCCGTGAAAACTCCCTTCGCCTAGACTTTCAGAGTCCATTTAAGTCGATTGCGTGGTACGGAGGATGAATGAAGGAGACAAGTCTTGTGCCTAGGTGATCCTCTGAGCGCATTACATAAGAAATCTCTCCGCTCTGACAATGGCTGTTGTTTGGACTGATGGAGCATGAGGACCCAGGAGGACATCCAAATATACATCTCCTGAGGAGCTCCCCAAAACGATCAGGTGTGAACATGCCATATGACATGTAAATTGTGGTAAACTGCTGGCTCACCCATTCTCAATCTACGTGACCGTTTTCATTCGGGGTCTCTCGCTAGCTATTCCGCCACTGGGGGAAGCATGGGCCATCTATGAAACAAGCGTGAGGAAAGACGACGAAAATGTACACCTGCATCCTTTGTTCAATTCTGACCTCACCAACTTCGCTATCCCCAGACGGTTCAACCACAAGTATCAAATGCTACAGAAAATCATCACCAAGTCGCCGCTGAGATTGCTCACTCCGACATCAAGACGCGTGTCGGCCGCGTCGGGTAAAACAAACGCGCTCAATCTCTCAACGCGTCTCAGTACCGCCTCGCCACACACCGCAACTTCCAAGACGACCGCTCGTAAAGATACAGTAGAAACGAAATCGCCCGCCAATGCCAATGCACAGTCGGAAAAGAGGAAGAAGACTATAGCAGAGCAGGATGAGGAGCTTCGATTGAAGCTCGAGGGCATCTCAGGAGACGGCGGCGCATCTGGGGTTGAGTACGAAGGCGGAAAGGCCGAAGGATTGAAAAGAGGTGTCAAAGAAAACATGTTCCGGGTCATATAATCTCACCAAACACTTCCATGGCAGAATGTCGGAATTCCGGAAAGCTAGCCCCTGGGGTCCATTAGTTTCGCCTCCCTAGCTTCAACTGACCAGCGTGCGGTTCATGCCGGCAGCCGACAAAATGAAGCTGTCAGTGCTTCCGTTGCGATTGAGCAGCCTCATGCATGCGTCTTTGCCTCACTTTACTTTCTTTGGGCAGTCGAAGCAGGTTAAGGTACGATGGAATGAGTACAAGAAAATTACTCCTATCTTACTACTTGCTAAGGAGCTGTCAATTTGCCGTGTTGTTAATTCATGCACAAGTACTTACCTTGGGGAATCGAACTCCTCGTCACTAGTGGTTTTGTGGATATGTTGTAAGTCAAAGCACCCACTTATGGGCCCCCCCCCCTTTTGGGCCCCCCCCAAAATCTCGCCCAGCCCCCCGATTAAAACCCTACCCTTAATATACAAACTACTACAATAATTACAAAAATCGTCCAAATATATTTCTTTTTAATATAATTATTAATCGATATATAATAGTCCTATATATTAAAAATAAGCTCTAATAGGCTCTTAATATTATTAAAAACGGTCTTTTTATTAAGAGGGCTTTAATTAAGTTCGGAATTCCTAAAGTAATACTTTAGAATTATAAAAAAGGCTACTAAACGAGGGTAAGGGTATTTATAAACTTTTAGAGGCTTTTTTTATAATAAAAAAACTAGTTAGTTTAATAAGTTTAAATTTAATATACTTTAAGTATTATATTAACTTATTAATAAGTTAAAAAATTCGCTAAGCGAGTTTTAATATTTTAGAGAGATACTAAACTATTTAAAAAAAAAATTAACGCTTTTATTAAAAAGAATTTATTAATAAGAGTTTAAAAAAGTCGTTTAATAAATTCGCGCCGTATTAATAAAACTATAATTAATATAATTAAATTATAATTTAAATTACTTAATATATTAAAAATTAGTAATATTAAATAAGCTAATAAGTATAATATAAATAAGATTAGTATAATAGAGAGTAAAAGAGCTAATAAGCTAGTTTTAAGTATAATAAAAGCTATAGTAATATAAAAAAAAGAGCCTAGTTTACGTACCTAAATAACAATTATTAAATATATCTTTATTAATAATAAGTTTATTAAATTACTAATTATTTATAAAAAAAAGTTAATATAATAATAGTAGTTTTTATTTTAACTTAACCCTTATAATAATTAGAAGTTTATAGTAATAAATAATAACTAAACGACTAACGAGACTACTTTTTACTAATTAAAAAAAGTATTCTTATTATAAACTAAGACCCCCCTTATTAAGGGGCTTAATAAGCTAAACTAGCCTCGATTATTAATACTAAATAGGTATAGGAGTTATATAACGATAGAATTTATATAAGAATACTATAAAAATAACGTTTACTTATTATTTTTATTATTATATACTTCTTATATTTTCTAATTATTAAATATAGCTATTTTTAGTTTTATTAAATCCTACTATAAAAAAGAGCTTAGTAAGGAGGATATAATAAATAATTCTATTATTATTAAAAAGTAGTACTTCTTAAGCTATTATTAGCTTATTTATTTAACTAGTTTAATATTATTAAATATATAAAATAAATAAAAAGTAATTAAATTATAACTACTTAATATAGCTAAGCTACTTCTTAACCTAATAGTCCTATTTATATAAGTTATACTATTTAAAAAAAGTATAAAAACTAGGTAAATAATTAGTAATATTAATAAACTACTTAACTAAGTATTAATAACCTCTATTATTAACTAATTAACTTTTAAAAAAGCTAGCGAACTTAGTAACTACTTAAAACTATTTATAGAGCTTAGTCTAAATAATAATACTTAACGACTATTATTTAAAAAAATAAAAAAAGTATTTAGTAAATAGGCCTACTACTTAGCTATATCTTAGTACTAAATTCGATTTTTAAAAGTAAGAGTTAAGTATATAAGGCCTAAAAAAAAAGAATATATTAATAAACTTAAATATTAAGTTTATAAATATTTAAAATATATAAAAAACTTAAGAAGACTTTAGTAACCGTTTAGTTAGTTTTAATTAATTTGTAGGGGTCGAATTACCTAGGGATAATAATAACTATATTATTATAGTAGTAGAAGATAGTTAATTAATTAATTATAGTTAGTGGCGATATTTTAATACTATGTTTGTTAGGGGGCCCAAAAGGGGGGGGGGCCCATAAGTGGGTGCTTTGACTTATGTCTAAAAGGCTCTCAAGTACTCAAATGCTTCACATTCAATGCTGACACACGAGCGTTGCACAGGATCGCCATAGTTTGCATCTCCTCAAAGAGTCTGAATCCACCCGGCCATTTGAATCTTGAACGTAGATGATATACTTGGCGTGAAATTGTTTCAAAGCCATGAACAGGGTAAAGGGTGCGCCTCCTAGATATCGCTGGGAACAAACAGTTGCCCCTGAAAAATATATCTCGCAGTGCGGACGAAACCCAAAACGCTGAAAGCAGGCAACTTTTCCCCTTGTCCCGCAGCTATGGTTTTAACAGACATTGGGAGATGGCCCGCGGGATGTTGGATTTTGAGAGTGCCACAGGCTAATGTGGCAGGACTCAACAGACGATTGAGGACTGAACCTTCGATCCGGCTGGCAGCAGTCGTACAAACCCCTCCTGTTCCGGCCAATGACAATGATTATCAAGAAACAGGCGCGCTTGAATATGTCCCTCTTCCGACGTTGGCTTTGAGACCAAGGCAACCATCGGAAGCATCGGGGACTGTTCATCAACCTGATTCCAGGCTTTGCATTTGCCAAGCTTCTCAGATATCCGTCCTCTAACTTCTCGGACGCGAGCGATGAGCTCAGAATTGCTGTCAATGGCGCTCACTGTCTCGTTGCCTTGGATGCCGAGGTCTTGCGCAGCGATGAACGCGATAGCATTGCCAACTTCGCAGTACGTAGCTTCGACTGTGCCAAATGTGCATTCGAGTGTATCTATCGGGTTGCCAGTGGGTAGCATTCGTTCAGGTGTTGCTGTCTGCGGCTGGATTCAGCATCGCAACGTTCAAGTTGAATCTGGCTCTACGACCAAACCTACCTATGAATAATCCATTAAAATAGGAGCACCGGTCCCGGGGCATCCAGATATTGAATAGTCACCCGTCTCTAATGCTCGCCCATTTGAAGCATCAATCGGAACATGGGCAATCAAAATTGCGCCTGTCCCAGTGTTGTAGATTTTGACCACTCTCTTGCGATCCTGCCAATTGTCTGTTCTTAAGAGTCCCTCATTGATTGCGAAAGGACCAACACCAGCCGAAATATTCCCACAATTAGCACCGTATGAGACGGTTGCTTCATCGAGACCGACTTGAGCAAATGTGTAGTCAACGTCTGCATCAGGTCTTTCCGAAGGCTGGACGATGGCAACTTTTGAGGTTACGATGCGTCCGCCGCCCATTCCGTCAATTTGGCCGGGATCAGGCGATCCCATGACACGTAAGAGAAACTTATCTCTGGCTGTCCCTGGTTTGGGAAGGTCCTTTGCATGGAAAAAGAGTGCTTTGCTAGTGCCGCCCCGGATGAACGTGGCGAACACATTAGGAGCTTTCAGGAGTTTTGCAGCAGCCATAGTTTGTGTTGCAGCTCAGGTCAACAATAATGAAGGTCCAAAATGATGGTTTATTGGAGAATCTCCTGAGAATGGCTGAGGCGTGGTGAGAAGTATGGTGTTGTCAACTTTCTTATGCTTAGGTATTATGTGACTGTAGCAATGGCCCTCACGTAGGATGGATTGTTCCGCGCCTAGTTAGTGCGGCAGCAGCACCGGAAGATACCACAAATTTCACCAGCCGCTGACGACAGAGGCGTCTTCCACCAATTACCCCAACTGTTATCTTGACAACCGTACCGGATGAAGGTCACGGTGTGAGCTCTGCACCTACTTCATTGCGCCATCATTTCAGGATAAACAACTAATCAAAAGCCTCAGAATTGTTGCAACTTCTTCAGATCCTTAAGTCTTTGGCATTACTGTGCTCAATAGAATACGATAAGACTGTCACATGATCATCGTCCAAGAAAGCAAGTAGGTGACAGGTAGGATAATTAGAGCAAACATCAAGGCAAGCTACGAAAGGTCCGGTATGGTCCGGCTCAATTATACCACTGGAGTTTTTGTAAACCTATACAACGCATCGGTCTTCCCAACAAGATTCTCCACTGGTTCTGGACCTGCCCCTAGAATCTGAACAAAGAAAAGTCACAGTCTTTGATGATGAGCAATGTTTCCCTACTTCTACTGGCTCCGAATCCCGAAGGTTATTGATGAGTGGCATGCTTTCTTGTACAAGGCTGTGAAAGTCCGAAAGATCCAATCCGATAGGTAGGTCGTTCGTACAATTACGGGGTTTCAGCAACACGTGAACGGAGCCGAGGTCAAGGGGCGCACTTCAGATGGAGGCCAAACCTGGGGGATCTCCGCACAAGCCTCGACGGCCCTGGCGGTTAATAATAAGCTCAACGCCATAAACGTCGTACTGCCTTGCCCGTCTTGATTTCTCTCCTCTACTCGACACCAAAGCCCAAAAGACGGTGCAAAAGTAGCATAATGGAGTCTGGATCTGGATCTCTACGTCAAAGGTCCGCGGCGCGGATCGCCGCACTAAGAGGCCAATTAGTGACGGGAACGGTGCCGAGTAGGAATGACACCCGAACACCAAATACAACGACAACGAACCAAAGTCAGAATCCCGACAAAGATGGCTACCCAGCGAAAATTCCTCTTACGTACTATCCGCTCGAAACACAAAAAGCTTTCACTTACAATGAGAACCGGATGAAGAGCAAGCTATACGCGAAATACTGCAACAAAGATCTCTACCTCTACGCCGACATTCCGCAGTATATCCGCGAGCCAATGCCAGTAGAGGGCATTCTCCCAATCACGGAATCGCGCCGCCTGCTGGAACCGGGCTACCACGCTCACGAGAATGGATGGCGTTCCCTCCCCGACGGGACAGCGTACGTCACGTCACGGACTCGTTTCCCTGGATCGACAGGAGACATGGTCCGCTGGTGGTTCTGGTGGCACAGCGTCGAGCCCGAGCGCTATGCCCTGTGGTTTCCGTACGACCACCTGGCCGCGCGATCGACTTACGCGGACCGGCTACATCGCACTGACCTCTCTCACACGCAAAAGTGGCTCGGCTCCACGCACCGTGTAACGGAATTTATCGGTGCAACCAAGATGACCGTGAATATCCACTTTGTCGACCCGGCGCAGTACGGCCTGCCGTGGGAGGAGCTCAAAGCTGCGGGTTACGAGGCCGCTGTTTGTGCGGAATTGCGCGATGGCCTGGTTTCAAACCTCAAAATTGGGGATTTCCTGCACCTCTGGCGCAAGACTGAGGATGGTCTCGAACTGCGAAGTCGGTATTGGCTTGGTGGGGGCATTCACTACAAAGTGATGGGTATGAAGGTTGGGATCGACTACCTTGCTGGCGCGCTGGGTTTCAAGCATCGCATGGCTGGAGACAACATTGCCTATGAGCATTTTATTCATGATCAGACCGAGTTCACTAATTTGGCTTCTTTCCTGCCGAGTTTGTACGCAGATTATATGGACGGGAAGCTTTGAGCAGGATATACCATGTAATGCTGCCTGTGCATGAAGATTTAGTCTTCTACTCCCCAGAGTGATATCAAAGGTCGAATCAAAGAGATACTGTGCCTTAGTGCTGGGGCTGGTAAGTCACTATAGTCATAATTAAAGCGATCTAGTTTAGTCTGTTTGATACCATCGTTCAAAATATCAGAGAAACCCAACCAGTAAATGAGCCCACGTTCTCAGGCATTCGATTCGTGGCAACCTTTCATGATTATTATCAACTCTGCATGCGGGATATGAGTAAAAGGGTTAGTATGAGTGATGCACGGCTTCGGGGCAAATCTTTGATTTTCAGATGAACAATGATACCATTCTTGGGGACGGTAGAAATAGTCGGCGTGTATTTCTGTAGTAACCATTGCTTATTGGTGTGCTAAGCTAAACGTAATCCGAACTCACAATCTTTGATGAACCTCGAGCATATTTATGTGATATCTCACAGCCTAAAAACTATAGAACAGTACCATTCAGTATATTAGTATTAACGGCTAGCCTTGTGATGCTAATGCAGTGCCGCGAGCAACTTGGCCAGGATTCGAAGTCGTTGTGCAGTGCGGTCGTATTGTCGCTTACACGCGTCCGTCTTTCGCGTCCTCTGTGTCCAGGCTCATTATGCCGATGTCTTTCCAAGACATTTATCGCGTCTAAGATTTTTCTTACAGCAGCAAGCTGATACGGGTGGTCGTCTGGGTGATGACTCTGCATGGCATTGTGAACGCTTCAGATACCGGCTCCGTCAGATCATCATACCTTACTCAGTCAGGTACTCACTGTATTCTCCCGCTGCAGTCGATCTATGCGAAAACTTCTCAGGCCATTATGAATCTTGCGTCGTGGATGATTATCTCAAAACATCGCTAACAGAAAAGCGAACGATGCTCGACATTGATGTAGTCTTACGTGGTCGTGTGGTCGGATCATCTACCCCCTGATATCGATGTCGATCGTGGACCTTCACATCTTGACAGAGGAGGAGGTATGAGCTATATAAACTGCTCTCGAGGTTGCACTCAACCCTACAATCTCAACAAAAATAACTACAATAACCTGACCTGCGCAATACGGGGCTCGCACATCTCTCAGTCAGTTGTGCATAACAGCCATCCTTGCCCCGTCCCCCCACATTCCGGGCCGTCGCGAATATCACAAATTCCCGCTGTCGTCTGCATCTGTTGGCCCCCTACACCACACCTTCAGCCAATCGGGTCGCTGTGAAATCAAGCATCATCACCAGGAGCTAGGATTCGAGACCCCAGAGGATCGTCAGGGCCTCCCCACCAGCCATGGAATAAACGCGTACGCATATCAGAAACAAACTAGAATAGGGATACTGTCAATCTATTTGACTTTCTTGATCGGTGAAGGGTCAATTTGCCAAGCCACTGTATAAGACGCGCATGCAGTCCAACCTAGGAAGCTGTCGAGAGCAACAGCATCTGTCGCTTCTACCTCCTTGACTACTCCTTCGTCTACTATGTTTCCCAGCTTCCTTAAGTCGGTGCTCTTAGCATCAGGTTTCATGGCAGCTACGAACGCCCTGAACCATCAACTGATAGTCGGAACGTTCGGTACACCTTACCTGTACACCTTGGAATTTGAGGATGCTGCCCGCACGCTCACTTTAGCTGCCAACACGTCTGTCAACGTGAGCAGCTCATGGATTTCTTTAAGCGTTAGTAATCCGGACCCTTTTTACTAATCAGTGACTCACGCACGGAATTAGCATGACAAGAAGGTCATCTATGGAAATGCTTTCGAAGACACAGGTAGTAGCGTCTACGTCAGCTACCCCCTCACCGATGATCTTCAGATCTCTCCCGGTAATATTGTGACATCCCAAGGAGCGTGCAAGCAACTCTCGATTTTCGTCAGGCCATCGCCCATCTCCCCATATGCAGTCTATGGTCAACCATTTGGTGCTTGTGGAACCGTCATGTCGGTAGACTCGAATGGTCTTCTCGTTGAGTCGATTCAAGAGTACAACTACTCCTCTTCCTCTGGAGTTCACGGTACTGCTTTCGACCCGGCAGGAGCATTCATGTACTCACTTGATGACACGGGGAACGCCATTTGGGTACACTCTGTCGACAACACCACGGGAGAGTTGACGTATGTCGCCAATATTACTGCTCCTGTTGAAGGCGCCGATCCTCGGCATGGCACTGTTCACCCAACTGGCAACTATCTTTACGTCGTTCATGAGGGGACGAATGAGGTCGGAGTTTACAAAATCGACACCAGCACGGGTATTCCAGCATACGCTGATATCTCATACCCTCTGATTCCTGACGGTGAGTCTGACTACAGCTTCCCGCATCCTTGAGAAGCTTCATGTTGCTAACAGCCTACTTATCAAGGCGCAAATGATACCGAGTACTGGTCAGATGAGGTTGCTCTATCGTACAGCGCAAAATATCTCTGGGCTACCTCACGAGCACGCAATACCAACAGCACCGGGTACATTTCAATCCTGGCTCTCAACGACGACGGATCTGTAAACAAGCAAAACTTCCTGACTCCCACGACCTCTAGCGGTGGAAGCGCAAACGCTGTCACCCCGAGCGATTTCGGCGATCAGTTTGTTGCTATCACTGATAGCTCTGCCGGCTTCGTGGAGATCTGGGAAATGGGCGATGATGGTGCCTCTGCCGATGTTGTGGCTCACTTGGACCTTAACGACGGAGGTTGCTGCGCAAATGCCGTTTGGCTCCCTTAAAGAACTGATGAGGGGCGCTGGTCATGAGAGGCTTCATAATCTTACAGGTTAAACTTTCTAGTCTAGCCTATGTAGATCCTTGTACGAGCTTGCTCGGCTTTGTCAATTGCGAGGCCATAAACTCGATTTACCACGGCAAATGAGTTCCATCATGATTCTGAAAAGTTCCGCTCACATCCCTCGACGCGGTATCAACCCTTTGCACAAGATCTGAAACGCTTTGCTCCACAGTTTATATGACTCCGAGATCTTCAAACTTCAAATCTGTCCCGTCGATTACGGATTTCACCATGTCTGTGGCGACGGTGCCGGGATGCAAGAGGAAGCTCGTGAGCCACATCTCCTCGAAATGCAATCTCCGAATGAACCAATTCAGCGCAGCTTTGCTGGCACCGTAAGGGCTCAATGCCGGCGGTAAACTCTCCAGGGACTCCATGCCGGAGATCGTACCAAGAATGGAGGTAACGGCTACGAAGACCGGACGACCAGTCTTACTAGCTTTGGGTAGCGGAGCTGTTGCCTGGAACAACAAGAGAGGTCCGATTGTGCTGACAGAAAGGTGATCTCTGATTGCAGCAGTCGAAGTTCTGATGACAGGGCCGCTCGAATGGGCAATACCGGCATTCGCGATAACGACATCTAAAGCGGGCATGTTATGATCCCGCTGTAGTATAGAAACGGCTTCCGCGGGGTCGGTTTCGATGGAAGAGTCGATCTTGACGATGATGATTTTGGAACCTCCGCCCTTTGGCAGGTCTAGTAGAGCTTTTGCAGGCCCTTTGAAGGATCTCGGACTGCAGCTATAACTATTGAGGATGGTCTCAGCAAGAGGCTAGCGACAAGTCCTGAGCCAATGCCGCGACCAGCACCGGTGACTAAGAATGTGGTACGGCTCATATTGGTTAGAAACCCGATGTTGGAAATTTGAATGATGAATTGATATGATATTAGTGAAGTATATGAATGGCCATGGTGCTCATTTGTTCAAATATGCGGAGGGCCACATTGCTGCTGTCCATAATATAAAACTTGTCTTTGCGGGCCCGCTTCTAATTACTGTCACGAAAATGCTGCCTCAAGATGCCCGACACGGACTCATAAACTCTCCGATGAAACAGGCAATTACAGTATATTCTAGATTCGATATGAATCGAAGATATAGTGGAACCCAGTCAGTTCGGACTAATCAAGCAACAATGGTGGCATATTTGATTAGAAGCGTGACTTGCAGCCATGAAGCGCCCTTGCGATATGAGTGCAATTCCATCCACATATGATTCATGTCAGTTTCACCCCTACATAAGCCCTCATCCAAGAAGTCCACCTTTGGGTATTCTGCCTCTCCGAACTGACACAGGGTTGAAGACTGGGTCTCACAGTTGCCTGCTGTGACACACAATTACTGATCAATACACCTTCCTTAAGTTGGTTGGACCTTTTCCTGTAGGCCATTGTTCTAAGCATCCCTAGTCAGCCGTCGAGCGAATTGTTTCCCCGCTCGTTCGTCCGTCAAGGTGGCAACCTTTTTCGAAAATATGAAGGGTGTCGCCCTAAAATCGCGACTTCACGTACTACGCTTCACTTTCTTTAGGTCGATAACGCGTGCCTATCACGCATCACTAAAGGAAACCTTGTGCCTAAAAGTTTGAGCTCTTTTTTATGCTTGGTGTATTAGTTATCAAGAAAATAGGTGCTTGGTAACTCAATATAATAGCTGTTGCGAATCGACTGAGACTTAATTCCGCCGAGTTGCCACGCCATCCCTTTCGCTCCAAGTCACGCGCGTTCATCAAAGCGAGTACAGATCGTCTCCGAGAGAGATACACATGCATGTTATATCTTTCAACTGCCTATCTAAGGTTTCAGTCGCTCGCCCGCAGTGCGTCGTTGCATACCTTAATGGCATGGATAGCAAGCTTACGTCTATTTAAGAAGGATGCCGAAGGGTTAGCTTCGCTGACATCAGGCGTCAAGTCGCAATCATAAGAGAGACTTTTTAATAAGTGCTGTCATCATATAGGTCTCTGAGGCCGCTGAACTTGCTATTTCAGATCTCAGCAATGGAAGCATACCACTGCAGTTGCGCAAGCTACTTTTTCAAGGCCCTTTTTTAGGTAATCGGAGAGGACTATCAACTTCAAGCTTTGAAGTAGGGACTTCGCAGCCATGAGAACCAGGAAATTACGGTCGAGCCATCAATATCATTCGTAACCATCTACACTCAGTAAGATACCTACTCCCCCTTCACCCACCCCTCTTTCTCATTCTGCTCCTTGCTACGTCGACTCCATTCTGGGGCTACATCGATACCATCCTCCTCTTCCTTGTCGCCCTGTTCCTTGGTTTTATGAACCGTTGTTGACTTGTGCTCAGCTGGGGAGTAAACCGTGTACAAGATTAATGGTGTCGGTCCCTTGTTCAAGAATTGATGCTTGGTTCCTGCCGGTACAATTACCATATCGCCGGCCTTGACTTCTTGCTCCGTGCCGGCAACCTGCGCGAGACCCTTGCCTGATGTGAAGGTAAGGATTTGATCGACGGTATGAACCTAAGGCTTTGTTAGTCAAATTCATGGCAGGAATGGGGGTGAAAATTGTACCTCTTCGCCAATATCACCATCGACAGGTACAGTCATCAGGACTAGCTGGGAGTACAAGCCTGTCCAAAGAACACGGCGAAACTCTCCAGACTCGGACGGCAAGGCCGCAGTCATATCGGGGAAATACTGCATTTCCCTCTTGGGAGGATCACTGGACGGGGTTGAGAAGGTAGACATTTTGGTAGTCGAGAAAGCTTTCTTAGCCTGGACTGGTTGTGATGTGTGGGGGGGAATAGATACACTGCTGCAGAGAGGGCGTATAGTGCGATAGAGCTTGGAAGAAAACATCTCTGATATTTGTACTTATCGCGTACCTTACCGGGAATCGTAGGGGGGTAGATACTATTATAAACGCCTATTAGCCGTTACTATATACCCGCTAGCTATTGCTAATTATGCACTAGTTACTAGGTAAATAACTATTATTAAGCGTTACTAAGTATTACTAAAGTCCTAATAATATAAATATAATACGGCCCCTAGCGCAATATATTTTCTTTAATAAAAACTACTAACTATTTATTTATATCTATCTTAAGCCCCTTTATTAATTATATTACTATTAAAATTGTACTACTAGTGCTGCTACTAGTGCTATTAGTACTGCTAGTTCTAGTACTATTAGTACTAGTACTAGTACTACTACTTATACTACTACTACTAGAGGGCTACCTAGGCGCTTACTAAATCGATATCGTCATTACGAGCCTAATACCTAATAATTATTAAAAAAAAAGTTATATACGGTATATAAAATAAGTATAAAGTAATATAATATAATGAAGTAAACTTATACTATTTATTATTACTTTAGTACGGTCGGGGTAGTTAGTATCCTTAGCGCTACCCTTAGTATTATAAGTAGCGGTATTATTATTATAATTATTTACTAGAGCCGAATCTTTATTATTAATAAGCTTTTTTAATACTATATAGTAGGCTTTTTTAGCATAGCGGCCTATATTAGTACTTTTAATACCCTATATAGCGTATAGCTCTAGTATAACCTCTATAATTATAATTAATATAGTAATAACGCTAGTAATATCTAGGGCCGGCTTACTAATAGTACGTATAAGCTACGTAAAAGAAAGAGGGTTTAATATAATAAATTTAAGCTATATAAAATAATATAAGCTAGATAAATTAATAAAAATGCGAAGGAGTAAATTACTTTGTGCGTAATATAATCATAATTATTATAACTACTATTAATATAATATAATATAATACGATATAAGGTATATAAATAATATAAAGGAAGTTAAGTAACGTAACGAGGAATATAAATAGATTTATTATAGTATTATAAAGTACTTTATAAGATATTAAAGGTATAAAAATAAGGTATTTATTAATATATTAAACCTTTATTTTATAGTATAAGGAGATAGCAAAACTAAGTAGCCGAAATCCGTCTCGAGGTAAGGGGCTCTTTTATAATTTATAAAGTTAATATACCTAGCCTTATCTTAACTATTTTTATAATACTATTTAATATAATAGTAATACTTAAATAATAGCCCCTCCCTCTCTCTTTTAGCTAACTTATATTTTCTATTATAGCCCTTATAAATATAATACTTATTTACTTAATAACTCTAAAGAGTTAATAATAATTAAGAGCTAAGTAATTTTAGGCGAGGTAAAAAAGAACTAAGTTAATAATTATATATAGCGTAGTATTTTAGTTAATTATTAAGATACGTATTAAAAACGTAAAGGTATTTAATAATACTCGCGATATATATAATTATGTTAAGTACTATGGGTAGTAAAAAGCGAGTCTAAAAGGCTATTAGCTCTAAACGTAGCCGTATTATTATTATTTAAGTTAAATACGTTAGTACTAGAGTAATTATTAAAAGTACTATTATTACTAAAAATATTCTCCAAAAGCTAGCCTTAAATAAGCTTACTAAATTAAGATATAAATAGATTATTACGCTATTACTAACTACTACGAGGAGTACTCTAATTACTATTTTATTTACTAAGTATAATATAAGTAGAGTAATAGCCCGGTATTATAAAACGACTAAGTATACCTAGAGAAGGGGGTAATAAGAGCTCGTTATCCTAAGCGCGCTTAACGAAATTAATAAAAATAAAAGCTAAACGCTATAGGATAGTCTTTAATATCTTATTATTCTAAGAAAATAGCTCTTTATTAATATTTATAAAATACTAATAATAAGCGAGATTATTATAGGTCTAAATAATTTCTTTATAGAAGTTAATATCCTCCTTCTTTTTCTCGTTATTAAATAGCTCGCTATTTATAGCGGCCTTTTAATTAATAAGCTCGAATATTATAAATATAAAAGTAGTAAATATAATACGGATATAATAATATACTAAGGGACGCTAACTAGTAATATAATCCTTAGTAAAAGTAGTATCGTAGTTAATATACTTAGTAATAGTACGCTAAATAGTAAAAAAAGTAATATAACCTAACTATTCTAATAGTATATTACGAAAAATAATAGTAATATTAGTATCCGTTTTTAAATCCTTTTTAACGAGTTTAAAAACCTCTAGATACTTAGGAGCATACTTATAGTACTAATTAAGGAAGTAATTATAGAGGAACTTATACTAAAAATTACGATACTAGTTCGTACCGGTTTTATATAAACCCTAGAAGTCTCTAGCTAATAAAATAATATTATAATTAGTATAAACCTTAAAGATTATATTATTTAAGAACTTATTTATATAAAATACGAACTAGTTTTTATAGTATTTATAATCGAGCTTATTTTATAAATCGATCTTATTATTTTCTTATATTTAAGGAAGTATATAGATAGTAATAAGAGTAGTAATAGGAGAAGCCGGATTATTAATATTACTATAGGCACGCGTAGGTATAAACTTAGTTAATAATAAGTAGAAAGTATATATATTCTTATTAAAAGTAAGGCGCTAGTTAGGAACAGACCGAAGGGTACGAATATTAACTTAGTATACCTTAAAAAAGAACTTAGGATAGGCTTAAAGTAGCTATATAATAGCGTAGTTACCCTTAATATTAAGTAAAAGTAGAGGTCCCTAAACGTTATTAGTTATATTATATATCGTAAAAAATAAGGGAAGGTAATATATATAATTAGAGTCTATATCGGTATATTACTTAGGTTTAATATAAGGCTAGCGGTGTTTTTTTAAAGTTATTATTAGTATATTACTTAATAATAAAAAGGTAGGGCTATTATGCTTATCCGGGTGCGTTAAATACTATTACTATTTCCCTTTTTATTTTTATTTTTATTTTTGTTATTATTATTAGTATTACTATTGTTACGAGTCTTATAAAGATTGCGCTTCGATATTTAGTACTTAATGCCTCTTTAAGTTACCTTGTTTTAAGTATTACGGATAGGGGGGCTATTATTATAAGTAGGGGTACTATTATTATAAGAAGTAGAGCTGCTGCGAATAGGGGGACTATTACTACTACGAGGAGTATTATTACTATTACGAGAAGTAGAGCTACCGCTACGAGGGGTAGAGCTACTACGAGTAGAGCTATTATAAGTAGAATTATTATAATTATTACGGCTAGTACGGATACGAGAAGGCCTAGAAAATATAGCTATTTTAATTACTATATATTACGATATATTATATTATAAAGGGTATTATAAATTATACTATTAATTATTAGTATTAAAAATATATAAGAGTAAGAAAGTTAAAGTTTATAAATAAGAGGTAAGGGGAAATAGGTATTTTAAATAATATTTTTATACCGTATAGGAAAAAGAATAGGTAAAAGAAAAAATTAATAAAAAAGCCCTATATAAATATTAAGGCGAATACTATTATTTTTTATTAGTAATTTTAAAGGCTTAAAGGCTTAAAAGTAAGGCTCTAGCAATTTAAGCTACCCCGGCCCGGAAGTAGGGTTACGTAATATACCTCCTTCCTTCCTTCTTTCCTTCTTTCTTTTTATTACTACTACTACTACCGCCGCTACTAATACTTAGTATACCTTAGGCACATTATAGTTTTCTCGTTTTTTTATATCGTAGACTTTTTATTTTTCTATACTAATTAACCTAATTAATATTATCCTTTTATATTTATATTAAAACGCGTATTATAGTGCGAGGTATTATAATATATTACGATATAAAATATTAGCTATTTTAAGCTTAAGTAATACGAGCGTTAAGCTAGGTCGTTATATAAAAGTTAACCCGCTAGATAATAAGCCCGCTACTTAAGGTACTTAGGACGTTTAGTATATTAATAATAACGTTAATATAAATATCGGCTACTCTAGAGGGGACGAGGCTAGTAATAATACTAAAATAAAAAGTACTAAAGTAGAAGATATTAACATACCTAATAATAATAATAATAATCTCTCTATCTTATTAAACAATACTATTAGAAGTAAGTAATTTAATATCCTTATATATCGAATTAACTAACTATAATAGGTATAATAAATCTCGAGGATATTAATAACCCTAGTATTTTAAAAACTAAAGCGAACGGTATACTACTAGTAAGATTTAATAATACCGAACTTATTATAGTTATTAATTACGATAAGCGCTTTAAAAATATTAAGTAAGCTATAGTAACTAGAGCTTTTTATAAAGATAATAACGATAGTAATAGTAATACCTCGAAAATATTACTATATGCTCTTAGTATAGTAGAGTTAATTATTATAATAGCGAGTAGTCATAAGATTATAACTAATAAGGATAAGGAAGAGGAGGTTAATAATAATAATCCGTCGATCTTTATCCCTTATTAATAAAATTAGTTCCTTAAATTATTTAACTTCGAACTTAGATTCGGTCTATTTACCTATATATTTAGTATTAACCGTACTTAGTACGCTAATATATATAAGTTCCTTAGCTTATTAAAAAATAATAATAGTAGCCCTATTCTAGTTATTAATATATTTCTAAATTAACTATTAATATTAAAAAATCGTGTATCTCGCCGGTTCTTTTTAATATTAATATAACGTACTAAAGTACTTCTTAAGCTCGAGAAGCTACTTATTATATGCGTATTTAAGAAGCTTAAAAAAAGAGAGTAAATAGGCTAAGAAATCGTCGCTAACTTATACTTTTTTAACCTAACTACCCTCTTTAAAAACTTTTTTATATCTAATATTACTAGGACTATATACGAGGGCCTTA